ACTTTTAGTTCATTTGGCAGGTTAAAAAGTGTTGCAAAAGCAATACCAGACAGACTGTTGGGGGTTAATTTTTCCAAGCCTTAGCAAAAATGATTAAGGTTTTTTGGTTATATTAGCTCAGAATAGAGTTTGGTAAGGAGGAGAGACAATGGGATGAGGAGTCTGTGGGCTCATTTTCGACTGAACTTTTCCTCCTTTACTTCAGGAGTGTTGTTTTCACCCCTTAAAATGTCCCTTTCCTCAATGCCTTATCACTTTCTAAAAGGATCACTATGTTAGTTGCCTAGAGAATGATAGAATTTTTCAGGTGAGGATGCTGAGGCTAACTAATGCCAGATTTAGGGCTAAAATCTAGTCACAGATTGTTTTTTAAAAATGCAAAATTTACTTAGGATGTTATTTATTATGTAAAAATTTATTATTTACATATAGTAAATGTATTATACATGGTTATAAAAATATAGAAATTGCAGATACATTTGGTGTTTTAATATACTTTTACATAGATAATACTGTATTTATATGGTTCTTTATACTATTTATTTTCCTACTTAACAAACTTCAGTAACCCACACTTTTGTAACCAAAATCTCCACAACATCATTTTTAATGTCTATAGAATTACACTGTCTAAATGTACCATCAGTCACTTAAGTATTTCCTTAAATGTTGGGCATTGACCTTATTTTCAAGTCACTTTATGTAATACTTTATTCAGGATCTGCAGATATCTTTGACCATGTTTCTGTTTCTTTAGAATATGAACATTTTAAAAGTTCTTGATAATCTGTTGACAGATTCTTTTCCTAAAAGACTCTCCTGGTTTAACTTCCAACCCAGTATAAAAAAGTATTTAGGGTTCTTATCAAATACTGGGTTTACCAAAAATTCTCTTTCCTTTTTTCCATGACATCCTTCTGTCCTTAAGCTTAAGTTAAAGGAGGGGGAAGGGTGTGGTGGATGGGAAGGAAAGACAGCTAAAAAACAAAAACTACATATAATAATGGTGGCCGAAAAAAAAATAATGGTGGCCATACAGTCTACAAGGGATACCCATTTTCAATTTTTCCATAAGCCTCCATCTTAAAACCCTCTCAGACGGTAGGAATGGGGAAATCAAGGATTATTTTGAAAACAGCCTTAGTATCATTCTAAAATCCCACTCAAGTAGTATATATTTTAAAAATATCTCTAAACTACTAGAATTGGGAAATCTTTAACCATGAATAATAATTTCATATAACTCTATAGCACAAAATTTTCAGAATATGATCTCATTTCAGCTATTTAGAAACTCTGAGTTGACCAAAGAGTATTTCCATCTGCCTACAGTTTCTGTAGGAAGAAACTAAGCTTAATGGAAAATAAAAATTCACATTCTCTCAATGTATTGTTGAAGTAATCATACAAAAAGGCATTAGACTGAGATGACTCTGATGTCTTGGTAGGTTAATGAGCAACCCCAGATTCAATCCTGTGAATACCTCAAGGTAGGAACAACCAATCACAAACATCCAATGAGATTTTTCTCAAATAATGCAACAGCATAAGCTATAGCAATCAAATAATTTCCTTGCTTTGAATGTGCATCTTCTCTATAAGAACCTTGCCCCTAGCTCCTGTCAGTGGAGTGCTCATGACCGTTTCAAGTTTGGTGTTGTACGATTGGAATAAAGTTTTGCTCAAATAAACTCTCAGAAATTTTAGTGTGCCTCAGTTTATCTTTTTAGAGCTATCAAACACTATGTGAACATCAAATTTAAATATGTATCAGTACTGCTGCTGCTAAGTTGCTTCAGTTGTGTCTGACTCGTGGCGACCCCATAGACAGCAGCCCACCAGGCTCCTCCATCCCTGGGATTCTCTAGGCAAGAACACTGGAGTGGGTTGCCATTTCCTTCTCCAATGCATGAAAGTGAAAAGTGAAAGTGAAGTCGCTCAGTCGTGTCCGACTCGTAGCGACCCCATGGACTGCAGCCTACCAGGCTCCTCCGCCCATGGGATTTTCCAGGCAAGAGTACTGGAGTGGGCTGCCATTGCCTTCTCCAATGTATCAGTACAATAATGGCTAATTGATGTTGTTTGTAATATGCACTACACTAAAGCAAAAGGGTTTTTTTTGTCTCAGGTGATCTGGAATCTTAGTTCCCCAAGTGGGGATGGAACTGGCAGCCCTTGAATTGGAAGCACAGAGTCTTGACCACTGGACCCCCAGGAGAGTCAAGAGATGTTAAAAGATAAGCAGAAGATAAAGAAAGTGAAGTTACAATAGCCAAGCCCTGGAAGTAACCTGTCAAGAATACTGGAGTGGGTTGCCATTTCCTTCTCCAGGGGATCTTCCCAACCCTGGGATGGAAAACGCACCTCTTGCATTACAGGCACATTCTTTATCACTGAGCCACCTGGGACGTCCACAAGGGAATATTACTCATTCATAAAAAAGGACAAAATAATGCTATTTGCAGCATCATGGATACAACTAGAGAGTATCATACTAAGTGAAGTGAGTCAGAAAGACAAATACCATATGATATCACTTTTATGTGCAATCTAGAATATGGCACCAACAAACATACCTATGAAACACACTCACAGACAAAACTACTACATTTAGAATGAATAAATAGGAAAGTTGTACTGTATGGCACAGGGAACCATATCCAGTCTCCTGGGATAAGCCAGAATGGAAAAGAATATGAAAAAAGAATGTATATATGTGTATAACGGAGTCACTTTGCTGTACAGCAAATTAGCACAACACTGTAAATTGACTATACTTCAATAAACTAAAGAAACAAGAAAGAAAGTGAAATTATCCATAAAGAGTATTATTTTATCCTTCTCAGTTCAGTTCAGTTCAGTCACTCAGTTGTGTCTGACTCTTTGCGACCCCATGAATTGCATCACACCAGGCCTCCCTGTCCATCACCAATTCCCGGAGTTTACTCAAACTTACGTCCATCGAGTCGGTGATGCCATACAGCCATCTCATCCTCTGTCGTCCCCTTCTCCTCCTGCCCCCAATCCCTCCCAGCATCAGGGTCTTTTCCAATGAGTCAACTCTTTGCATAAGGTGGCCAAAGTACTGGAGTTTCAGCTTCAGCATCAGTCCTTCCAATGAACACCCAGGCCTGATCTCCTTTAGGATGGACTGGTTGGATCTCCTTGCAGTTCAACAAACTCTCAAGCATCTTCTCCAACACCACAGTTCAAAAGCATCAATTTTTCAGCACTCAGCTTTCTTCCCAGTCCAACTCTCACATCCATACATGACCACTGGAAAAACCATAGCCTTGACTAGACGGACCTTTCTTGGCAAAGTAACTGCTTTTTAATATGCTATCTAGGTTGGCCATAACTTTCCTTCCAAGGAGTAAGCGTCTTTTAATTTCATGGCTGCAATCGCCATCTGCAATGATTTTGGAGCCCAATTTATCTTTCTAGATACCCAGAAAAAGGTAGACAGGATTTGGAGTTGTGAAGGTGGCACTATTTTAGACTATTAGTTTGTTCCTCTCCTATGCAAATAACATTTTGAGTAAAACACATGGTTCTGAAATAAACAAAAGAGTGTATTAACTAGATGGATGCTCATCCCTCAATACTCAGCTGAACCTGAACCTCTGGCCATTCTCAGGCTAAATTAATCATTCTGTGTCTTGGGCTTCTGTAACATTTCATAAATGGGTATGTTTCAATTATAATAAAACATTATATTTTAACTTATTTTTTAGGGTTTCCTTCACTGTGTGTTAGTGGAAGCATACTGGCTGAAACTGCCCACCCTGGCCAGGTACTATAGTTTGTGTGAGCTGTTTTATGACATGAGGTCCTGATAAGGAATATGGAACTAACAAGCCACCACCAACCAGAAGCATTGGGGAAAAGTCAGGAGGAGACACCACGTGTCTGACCACTTCCCAGAGTCCTTCTTCCTGGTATCCATCTCCCTTGAGCTATGCCTAAGCCACCAGGAAGGACCCTGAGTCAGAATGATGGGCCAAAGACAACCTGGAAACTTATCCTATCATCATAAAACCCAAGACTGTGAGCCACATGGCAGAGCGGTTCTACTGGGTTTCCTTACCCTACAGCTCTCCACCCAGATGCCCCTACCCAGTCATCTTTTGCTTACTCAGTTCATGTTTGTCCTTGGGCAATTCATCTGAGTGTTAGCCAAGAGCCCTCTCTCTGGACTTGGAAGGGATTCCACTTCCTGCAACATAAGCACTGTGGATTCCCAGTTTTATTCAGTATCTTTATAGCCTCAGCTTCTGAGTTAGTCCTGGCAATAGGCAAGGCACTTAATACCTCTTTAACTAATAATGAATTATCCAGTACACGGATGAGAATGATTTCAGAAAACAAATTTGACAAGTATCAACAGTCAATGAACGAATTCCACTTATTTTCTACCTACTCATTGGGTGGATCAAATTACCATTCATTTTTGTTCAAACGTGTAATGTATTATTATTCTGTGCCAATAGATTAGAAATATTTTCCATAAATAAATGTTTAGGGGGGGTCTACAAAGTGACACCCAGGAAAAGAAACATTTAACTCGGGCTTCCAGGATCTGTCCTTTGAGCATGGCTCTCTCCTCTATCCTTCTACACTGTTATAAAGAGGCCAAGACTCCAGCCTGCCTGGCATCTCCGTCCACGCCTGGAGCATCCCACACTCCCCTCTGTCCTCCCACACTGTTATAAAAAGCCCCACACTCCGACAAGGGGAAGCAGCGTGCAAGCTGGGCGTCTGCTGGTCTCCGCAGCAAGAGTCTGGTCCGGTGCAGAGCTCAGCGCGCAAAGAACGCGCGAGGCTGTGCACGTTGCAGCCGTGCCGTAAGTTCTGCGCACGCGCCGGCGGCCAAGCCTGCCCCCGGGCCTTCTGGGGGCTGCGCCTGCGTGGCTCGTTCCGGCCCGGGACTGGTGAGAAGCGGCGGTTTAGGGTGCCGAGGTGCCGCCGCAGTGCGGTCGCTTTTCCTGGTTGGGTGCGGGATGCTGCTTCTGGCGTTGGGCGGCCCGTGGGCGGCCGGACTGCGGCTCGGCGGGAAGAGGACAGCAACGTGGGCCTCCACCGCGCTCCGAGCCCCCAGGGCGGCCGTCTCGAGGGCGGCCTCCTCGAGGGCGGCCTCCTGCAGAGGCTCCTCAGGGCGCGTAGGGGGCACGGGGCTGTCGGCTGCCGCGCCTGTTCTGCGTCGGGTGCGAGCCCAGGTCGGCGGTCAGAGGGCTTCCGGACCCGTGTGAGGGCGGGGGGTGGAAGTAACATCGGGCCTGGGGAGCCCGGCTTCCCCTCAGCTTCTGCCCGGCGGCCCCTGTATGGAAAGCGCCCAGTGCGAGGCTGGCGGGAGTAGTATGTTTGGGCCTCGGGAACAGGCCAGTGCATCCCGGGGTTCACAGCACCCGCGGATCTAAGTGTCCCTTGGAAAGTGATTATTTTCTGGGCGGTTCCAGTCACTTTACAGATGGTTGCAAATCCAGCGAGGACTCAGCTTATTGCCTTTTCTGTCCTTAAGCGCAGTCTTGTAAGAGCTAATCTTCAAGGAAGTTAGATGCGCCACGTGGAGATGGAACTGAAAAAACTCGGAGAACCTCTTTGAGTTCTATTTTTTATTAGGTGGCCCTATTTTTAGGAGTTACTTTGCTCCCTGGGTAGAAAACGGGATAAAGACGTTAATCCTTCTTATTTTAATCTGAATAAATTGTCTCCTAATCCTACCCTGTAAAATATTAGGATTAGCAAACATGCTGAAACTTGGAAAGCCAGTGCGGGAATTGAAATCTAATTAAATTTCAGTCTAAAGGAATTAGGCATGCCTTTTACATCTTCAAGAGGGTGTGTAGTGAAAGTCATATTCAGAGGTTCTGGGAACTCTGTTCCTGTGAAATTTGATGTGAGTTCAGGTGGAAATTTTTCCTTATAGAGAACAAGGAATGAATAAAAAGTTTGAGGAAAGAATATATATATATGTATGTACATATATATATATATAGCTGTGCTATAAATATTTTAGAAGTATTAAAAACTAACTGGGCTTTATAAATACTGAATCTGCAGTGTTTTGCTTAAATAAAGTGGTTTTTTTAAAGTGATTTAAAAAAAAAAAACAACTAACGCATTTAAATATTTGCAGTTGAGTGAGAGTCACATGCAATAGAAGAAACTACTCCACTAACTTTTTACTTGTTTAAGGTCACACTTTATCTAACAAGCTTCTAGCTGGCATGCAAACCTAGGTCTTCAAACTCCCAATTGGGTGTCTACTTGTGAGTGGGGTTAAGGAAAGCCTTTCTGTTACTCAGTTTGAGTTCTTCAGCTCTGTAGATTATTTGGAAGAATTCCTTAAATCACCCTATATGAGAAGTTCTCTTTATAATATTTTTCAAAATAAACTTTATAAAAAATTTAAAAGTTGGTCTAAAATGCAATTTATTATGCACTCACATCATGGTCTCTCTTTGAATAGATACCTGTTTGTTGGGAAAGAGGTGTTCGATGTTCACATACACAGCTTGACAAATCAGAAGATGGAAGGCTGATTTATACTGGGAATTTGGCCCGAACAGTATTTGGTGGGTAATCATGAATGAGGGTACTTCCTTTTTTCCCCCTTTTGATTATAAAAAAGATTCTTAGCATACGATACTTAACTATTTTTATTATTGTTTAGTTGCTAAGTCCTATCCGACTCTGTTAAGACCCCATGGACTGTTGCCCGCCTGGCTCTGCTACCCATGGGATTTCACAAGCAAGAATACTGGAGTGGGTTGCCAGTGGTTCAGTGGATCTTCTTGACTCGGGGATCAAACCCACGTCTCTTGCGTCTCCTGCATTGGCAGGCAGATTTTTTACCCCGGAGCCACCGCTTCATAATTGGAAGACCAAAGGAAAGATTATAAGATTTAATAAAGGATTTGGAGGTTGAGACCTTTGCATTTTTAGGAAATTTACATTTTTATTTATCTATTCATTTGTTTATTTGGCTGCCTCAGGATCTTTGTCACCTGGGATCTTTTCTTGCATCTGGTCTCAGTAGTTGCAGCAGGCCCCCTACAATTGCATCTGCAATCCCCTTGGTTCCCCCCCCCCCCCCCCCCCCCCAGCATGTGGGATTGTAGTTCCCCACTGAGGATTGAACCTGAATCTCCTACATTGCAGGGTGGATTCTTAACCACTGGACCACCTAGAAAGTCCCTTTAGATTTTTAAAAGGTTTTTGAAGACTCTTATGACTGTGTTCTTACGACTGAGCACTAAAGATTCATCCTTTGGTCACTTCTCAGGATGTTTAGCAACAAAACATGTATATTTATATAATGTTTGAATATTCAGAGAAGCACATATGGATGAATACTTAGGAGTAGTTATTTTGGGTGGGTAGACATTTACTCTATAGAGTAATTATGATTCAAACGTATATTAAGTCTGCATTTTTTAGGTCTTAGAATTTTCAGCAAATGTATTTACTTAGTGACTTTTGCACGTGGTAGGTAGGGAGTTATAATGGAGTAGGAAAAGACAGTGTATTAAATAACTACAAATTTAAAATTGTTTTGTCTCCTTAGGTCATAATTCAGTATGTAGTATGGAATAATTTAGAAAAGAAGAATGTAGGTATGTGGTTTGTTCAAGTTTCTGAGGTTGTATTTCCTTTCAATAATCCTTATATAAAAAAGTATAACCTGAAATATTTGGAGGATTACCTTACAGCCCAACTGACCACAAGATTTCAGTGCCCCGTTGGCATGTGTGTTTTTGATCATGTTGATGTTACTTGATTGTCTGAAATTTAATCTGAAAATCTAAATTCTCAAGCATGTGTGACATTAAAATAGAGTATATTTAAAATATAACTTTAGCTAATTTAAAACTTTTTGGGAATAAGGACTGATTATAGTACTGTTGAGAGGAGTTCTAAAGTTCTTGGAATAATCAGTTTTGGATGGTAGAAATTTCTTCAGAAGTCACAACATGAGTAGGTTGTTGAGCCTGTGTCACATCTCTTGATTGAGCCTCGGATACCTGGATTGATGCCCTTGAGGTGTGTCAGCTGTGACCCCCATGATATCCTTCTTTATGAACACAGACACCATTCCTTCAAATGAAGGGAAGGTTTATCCATTTATTTCATGTCCCCACTTGACTCAGTTCTGAACTGAAGAGATTATAAATAGGAATGAATTTTAGTGTGCGTGCTTGCGTGCTAAGTCGATTCAGTCATGTCTCACTCTTTGTGACCCTATGGACTGTAACCTGCCAGGCTTCTCTGTCCATGGAATTCTCCAGGCAAGAATACAAGAGGGGCCTGCCATGCCCTCCTTCAGGGTATCTTCCTGATCCAGGGATCAAACCCACATCTCTTAGGTCTCCTACATTGGCAGGCAGGATCTTTATTACTAGCACCACCTAGGAAGCCTCCTAATTTTATAGTATGGTTATGATATAATATTTGTGGAACAGCAAAATTTTGCATGGTATTCAAAGTTCTAGAATTGTAGCAGAATTTGATATTTGAGTTCCTTCAATATTATAATAGAAAGTCATTCTATATGCATATCAGGAATTAATAATTTTTCTGTGTAAAACTGAGTGAGAGGCATTAACATACCGGTACCATTCCTGGAGATTCTTTAAACTACCAAATTGGATCCTAGTGTAAAGACATTTGAGGGGACTTTTAGTTGGCAGTTCTTGTTAATTCAGCAACAGAAATTACTGATGTCACAGTATTCTCATTTTAAGACAGTAGAATTTGAACATGAAGAGGTGTGAAAGAAGGACATCCTAGGCACGAAAGTCGTATGAGCAAAGGCATTAGGATGGGAAAACCCAGAATATGTTTAGAAAATAGCAATTACTTCAACCTGAGCGATTGATGCTTGGCTTTTCTGATGGCTCAGTAGGTAAAGAATTTGTCTGCAATGCAGGAGACGTGGGTTTGATCCCTGGATCAGGAAGATCCCCTGGAGAAGGAAGTGGCAACCTACTCCAGTATTCTTGCTTGGAGAATCCCATGGACAGAGAAGCCTGGTGGACTGCAGTCCATGAGGTCAGAAGAGTTAGACACAACTTAGCAACTAAACCACAACCACCATGAGGCATGTGTATGTATTAGTTTCCTAAGGGCTCTTAAAATTCATTTTCACACACTTGGTGGCTTAAAACGGCAAAATTTATTCTCACAGTTTTGAAAGCTAGAAGTCTGGAATCACAGTGTTGGCATGTGCATGCTTTCTCTGAAGGCGCTAGGGAAGAGTTCTTTGTCTCTTCCAGGTTCTGATGGCTCGCAGCCATCCTTTGTGTTCCTTGGCTTGTAGTTGCATGACTTCAGTCTCTGCCTGCTACTTTACAAGGCCTTCTCTGTGTCTCTGCTTGTCCTGTTCTGTCCTTTTAAGGACACTCTCATTGGATGTAGTGTCCACCCTAATCCAGGATGGATTATCTCAACTTCTAATTATCTTCAAAGACCCTGTCTCCAAATAAGGTCACATTCTGAGGTTCTGGGTGGATGTGAATTTTGAGGGGACACAATTCATACTACTATAGTGTGAAAAGAGTAATGAGGAGACAAGAGGTGGTTTTTCTGCAGAAGACAGCTTGGTCCCTATTAAATCCCATGTGTACCAATGTCATGACAACTACCTGTGAGAGGAAGAAATTACTTTTAAACTGGTGCAAACAGGAAGCCTTCAACCAGCAGTGATGTATGAGAGGCTCTGTTATAGCCTCATCAACACATATGGTGTCATATTTTTTGGTTTTTGCCAATTTGGGGGGAAAATGGTATCTCACTGTGGTTTTAATTGCATGTTTTTTATGATTGAAGTTTAGTATCATTTCGTCTATTGAAATCTTCCCTGGTGGCTTAGATGGGAAAGAATCTGCCTGCAATGCAGGAGACCCAGGTTCGATCCCTGGGTTGGGAAGATCCCCTGGAGAAGGGCATGGCAACCCACTCCAGTATTCTTGCCTGGAGAATTCCGTGGACAGAGAAGCCTGGTGGGCTACAGTCCATGGGGTCGCAAAGAGTCAGACATGAATAAGCATCAACTAAAACACACACACACACAATCTGTTTAAAGGCCCTGTGCATTCATGTTCATTTTTTGTTTCATTGAACTGTCAGCTTATATTTCTTACTCATTTGTTTATTGGGTTGTTGATCTTTTTCTTCTCATATACTGGCAACCTTTTATATCTTGGGTATGTTAATCCTTTGTGATATAAGTTTCCAGTATTTTTCTCATTCATCTCTTTATTTTGTTTATGGTATTTATGTCTGTGTCCTAAAAATATGGTCAGATTTATCAACTTTCTCCTTGATTGCCTCTGTATTTTAAGTCATAATTAGAAAAGTTTTTCTGTCCTCAGATTATAAGGCCTTCACAAGGCTTCTTATAGCTTTCTTATTTTATATACCAAGGTCTCTGGATTATTTGGAATTTTCCGAGTATATAATATGAGGGATCGATTGAATTTTATCTTTTTCTGTGTGGCTATCCAGTTGCCCCGGCACCACTAGTTTTATTTATTTATTTTTTTTACCACTAGTTTTAAATTGTATCTTTATACTATCCATACGCAGTGAGGTTTCTAGATTTTCTGCTTTTGTTCCATTGATCTTTTCATGCACTGAGCCTATACAACACTATTTTAATGTTTTAGTATCTAACTCTCCCTCTCTTTTTTGCTTCCTTTGTTTTTCCAAATTAACTTTATAATCAGCTCATCTAGGATCTCAGCTTGTCCGTTTTCCAAACAGATGGTGTTCAATCATGTTAAAATTATATATTCAAACTAAGAAAATTTACATTTTAAGTTATTTATTTACTGTGGTAAAGTAGACATAATGTAAAAGTTACCATTTTGACCATTTTTAAATATGTAGTTCAGAAGTCAGTGATTTTTAAAAAAATTTTTCTAAGTAAAAATATGTCACTATTTTAACTTGAGTGTTTTTCCTTGATAAGGAAATTGATTACCTCTCCCACACGTTTCTTAACCACCAGTGGGGATTTTTTGTTTTTATTTTTTATTTTTTTTTTTTAGGTTTTATTTTATTTTATTTTTTATTTTTTTTTTTCCATTTATTTTTATTAGTTGGAGGCTAATTACTTTACATCATTGCAGTGGTTTTTGTCATACATTGAAATGAATTAGCCATGGATTTACATGTATTCCCCATCCCGGTCCCCCCTCCCACCTCCCTCTCCACCCGATCCCTCTGGGTCTTCCCAGTGCACCAGGCCCGAGCACTTGTCTCATGCACCCAACCTGGGCTGGTGATCTGTTTCACCCTAGATAATATACATGTTTCGATGCTATTCTCTTGAAACATCCCACCCTCGCCTTCTCCCACAGAGTCCACAAGTCTGTTCTATACATCGGAGTCTCTTTTTCTGTTTTGCATATAGGGTTATCGTTACCATCTTTCTAAATTCCATATATATGTGTTAGTATACTGTAATGGTCTTTATCTTTCTGGCTTACTTCGCTCTGTATAATGGGCTCCAGTTTCATCCATCTCATTAGAACTGATTGAAATGAATTCTTTTTAATGGCTGAGTAATATTCCATGGTGTATATGTACCACAGCTTCCTCATCCATTCGTCTGCTGATGGGCATCTAGGTTGCTTCCGTGTCCTGGCTATTATAAACAGTGCTGCGATGAACATTGGGGTGCACGTGTCTCTTTCAGATTTGGTTTCCTTGGTGTGTATGCCCAGAAGTGGGATTGCTGGGTCATATGGCAGCTCTATTTCCAGCTTTTTAAGAAATCTCCACACTGTTTTCCATAGTGGCTGTACTAATTTGCATTCCCACCAACAGTGTAAGAGGGTTCCCTTTTCTCCACACCCTCTCCAGCATTTATTGCTTGTAGACTTTTGGATAGCAGCCATCCTGACTGGTGTGTAATGGTACCTCATTGTGGTTTTGATTTGCATTTCTCTGATAATGAGTGATGTTGAGCATCTTTTCATGTGTTTGTTAGCCATCTGTATGTCTTCCTTGGAGAAATGTCTGTTCAGTTCTTTGGCCCATTTTTTGATTGGGTCATTTATTTTTCTGGAGTTGAGCTGGAGGAGTTGCTTGTATATTTTTGAGATTAATCCTTTGTCTGTTGCTTCGTTTGCTATTATTTTCTCCCAATCTGAGGGCTGTCTTTTCACCTTGCTTATAGTTTCCTTTGTTGTGCAAAAGCTTTTAAGTTTCATTAGGTCCCATTTGTTTATTTTTGCTTTTGTTTCTAAAATTCTGGGATGTGGGTCATAGAGGATCCTGCTGTGATTTATGTCGGAGAGTGTTTTGCCTATGTTCTCCTCTAGGAGTTTTATAGTTTCTGGTCTTACATTTAGATCTTTAATCCATTTTGAGTTTATTTTTGTGTATGGTGTTAGAAAGTGTTCTAGTTTCAGAACACTTTCTTTTACAGGTGGTTGACCAGTTTTCCCAGCACCACTTGTTAAAGAGGTTGTCTTTTTTCCATTGTATATCCTTGCCTCCTTTGTCAAAGATAAGGTGACCATAGGTTCGTGGATTTATCTCTGGTCTTTCTATTCTGTTCCATTGATCTATATTTCTGTCTTTGTGCCAGTACCATACTGTCTTGATGACTGTGGCTTTGTAGTATAGTCTGAAGTCAGGCAGATTGATTCCTCCAGTTCCATTCTTCTTTCTCAGGATTACTTTGGCTATTCGCGGTTTTTTGTATTTCCATACAAATTGTGAAATTATTCGTTCTAGTTCTGTGAAAAATACCGTTGGTAGTTTGATAGGGATTGCATTGAATCTGTAGATTGCTTTGGGTAGTATAGCCATTTTGACAATATTGATTCTTCCAATCCATGAACACGGTATATTTCTCCATCTGTTTGTGTCCTCTTTGATTTCTTTCATCAGTGTTTTATAGTTTTCTATGTATAGGTCTTTTGTTTCTTTAGGTAGATATACTCCTAAGTATTTTATTCTTTTTGTTGCAATGGTGAATGGTATTGTTTCCTTAATTTCTCTTTCTGTTTTCTCATTGTTAGTGTATAGGAATGCAAGAGATTTCTGTGTGTTAATTTTATATCCTGCAACTTTGGATTTTTTGTTTTTAAATTTGCTGTTTTAATGTTGGGCACTTAACCTGATAAAGTTAGGCCTGTATTTGAACATTTTGTTTTAGATCTGCGGAAGTACTTGTTACCAGGGCATTTTATTTGATTATCTGCTGACTGAGTTGAGTTTTATAGTATTCGTAAAGATTTTTGAGTACTATTAAATCTTTTATTGGGGAGTGCATTGTAATGGCCAGCAGCCTCGGCCCTAGAGTCAGATTGCCTAGGTTTAAATCCCAACACCACTATTTGGTGCGGCTTCCCTAGTGGTTCAGACAGTAAAGAGTCTGCCTGCAGTGCTGGGTCAGGAAGAGCCCCTGGAAAAGGGAATGGCTACCCACTCCAGTGTTTTTCCCTGGAGAATTCCACAGACAGAGAAGCCTGGTGGGCTATAGTCAGTCCATGGGGTCGAAAAGAGTTGGACATGACTGAAGTGACTTTACATTTTCACACAGCTATTTGGTAGTTATGTGACATTGAGCAAGTGCCTGATATTTTCTCATCTTTTAAATGGGAGAGATGATGATGATAATTATACATCTATCTCATAGGACTTTTGTGTAGATTTCATGAATAAAATATGCAGAGTGCTTAAAATAAAGCCTGGAATATAATAAGCACTATATAGGTGTTTTGGTTTTGTTGTTTTGGTGATGATATGGTAGGAAGAAAAAATTAATTGGATGGTATTAATCCTCTCCTATTTTCTTTTTCTTTTTTTTTTCCTGTTTTCTTTTTTTAGGTGTGAAGTGTTTTTCTTACTCTACAAGTCTGATCAGCCTTGCATTTCTACCATACATTTTTGCACAAAGTAATGTTATATTTGGAAGTCTGCCTTTGCAAATCTTATTTTATGGCACCATAGGAAGCTTTACAGTGATCACTCCAGCACTGCTTCACTTTCTCACAAAAGGCTATGTCATTCGCTTGTACCATGAGGCCAGAACAGACACTTACAAAGCCATTACTTACAGTGTTGTACTTTCGGAAAAAAGTACAGTATTTCACCAGAATGATGTGAAGATTCCAAACAGCACACATGTGTTTACTACGTTTTATGCTAAGACAAAATCATTGTTAGTTAATCCAGCACTCTTTCCAAACCCTGAAGACTATAACCATTTAATGGGTTATGACAAACCATTCACCTTTGATCTGGAAGAAGCCAGTGAAAAGAAACAGCTTAAAGAAGAGAAATAAGTCTGCTTTTTGTCAAGCCACATGGCATGTGGGATTTTAGTTCTGCTCCCAGGGATCGAACCGATGCCCCCTGCATTGGAAGGGTGAAGTCTTAACCACTGGACTGCTGGAAAAGTCCTGAGTTTGTTATTTTTATGTTTGTGCTTAAATGTGATTTGTGTTCCAATGTATGATAATTGCCTTTATGTTTGATTTTTTTAGTGATTGTTAAATAATTTAAGTTGTATCAGAACTTTTAGTTTTCAGAGACTTGTGTTCCTTTATAATAAAAAAAATTATGTTTGAAAACAAAACTTGTAACATTCTACTGTTTTGTTTAAAAGGGTGTGAAAATACATGTATATGCTGATGTATGCATAATTAATTTTATATAATGATTTCTTCTCACCTGGGGATTGGATATCAGAAGCATATGGGAGAATTATTTTTCCTTTGTGTATGAACTTTTCTAAAGATATAGATACTACCTTTTCCCACAATAGAAACTAAAAATTCCCACGTTATAGAAAGCAAGTGTTAATCTGCTTCCTTTGGCTCTGAATACAGGTTTTTGCCTATCTTCTGTGACATGGCTGCCTATATTAGAGATGGTGTACAATAGAATGTGGTTAGCTTGAAGGCAGATGGTAACCTGAGGAGTTTGTCTTCAGTGGCTCTGCTTGTCTCTCCACGTGCACACCCCTTTGGCACACTCTGTCACACACAGGGAAAATCCTATCTACTTTGGTACGATCATATCATACAAATGGATAGTGCCTTTTGTAAAACAGCAGTCTTCATGCAAACTGATCAAGTATTGGCATTTTAAGATTTTTACCTCTAATTGTAGAAAGAAAGTTGGTTCTTGTGAAGGATTTTCAGCCAGGAACAAATGGCCTCAAATTGTTATTTAGATTGGTAGATGCTGATTATGTGCCTAGAATGCACTGGGTACTGGGCGAGTTGCCAGAGTCACAGTTAAGAACACCCAGTCTGTATAAAGCTGTGTAATAGCCAACTCCTGCCATGATGGTTAATCTAATCTTTACGGCTTGCCTGTGTATGAGAGGGAGGTGAACACCGAGCCTACAGAGCTGCCCAAGGCCTCCTATCAGCTGCTACAATAGTAAGTCTAATTTTTATGACTTCTATGTGAGGGAAGTACATGGAGAAGCAGTAGGAGCATCACTAGTTCTTGGGAAGATCAAGTATCAAGGTGCTAGAAGGTTATAGGTGACAGCTTAAGGTAGAAAAGTGCTCTTTCTGAGATTTAGAGCCTGCCCTCTGCTAGATCAGCCAGCCTGTGGTCCTAGCAGAGGGCAGGCTGTATTCTCAGAGATGAACAGGCTGCCTCCACCTCTGTCCTCAGCTTGGACTCCTCTGCCTGCCTGCTCTTCTGTCTTGTTACCTAGGTATACCTGTGTTGCTGTCTTAACAATTAATGTGGTTTGTATCTTTCTATGAAAAGGTATTCCATAATCAAATACTCATTATCAAATGTTAGACACATAGGAGAAAACAGCACTGTTAACATTTTAAACTTTTCTCTCGAGGGTCACTTTTCTCACACTTTGTTTTGAGTACAGCATACCTGTTTCTTTAAATGTGCTGTATACATGCAGTCATTTTGTCTCCTGTGTAGTGGAGTGAAAAAACCTATTTTTGTTAGTATCAGAATAATTCCTCAGAGGACAGCGTGGTTGCTTAAAAGACTGCATGAGAAAGATGTCTTCTCAAGGGCATGATCTGGAGTGAGGCCAAGATGAGAAAAGGATCAGCATGCATAGGATACCATGATGATTCATCAGTGAATTAAGTCTGCAGAAGCAACTCAGGCCAAGATAAGGGGAAAATACATGCACATCCCTCCATGCCACTTCACTACCCTCTCCCCCAGCAGAGTAATCCTGGAAAGACTGAGACCCTGATGAATCTCCCACAATCTCTGGGAAGGATATTGAGTAAGGTTTATTTGAGTCTCAGAAGACAGGGTGATTCCTTTGGACATCTGGGTTACATCAGATAGCATACCCTCGACAGTAAGATGTAATCCTTTCCCTCAGTTTATTAATAATTACATCACACTGAAAGACAATAGCAAAAGTAACAAAATGGTCATTAGGTATGAATGACTCATTTGTTAAAATTGTATTAGGATTTTTTCAGAAAAAGGATGGTTATCCAGATTCAGCAATTACCAATTTGTGGTCAGTATTGTTTCCTCTAGACCTCCTGCCCCCTACTTTTATTTGGGAGCAAGTTGCAGACATCATAGTATTTCTTTCTTAAATATTTAATTTTGTAATTCTACAAGTGAAAGTGAAAGTGTTGGACACTCAGTCATGTCTGACTCTTTGTGACCCCATGGGCTATAGCTCACCAGGCTCCTCTGTTCATGGGATTGCCCAGGCAAGAATACTGGAGTGAGTTGCCATTTAATTTTCCAGGATATCTTCCTGACCAGGGACTGAACCCGAGTCTCCTGCATTGTAGGCAGATTCTTAACTGAGCCACCAGGTAAGCCCCTTATCCACAAAATAAGGACTTAAATAGCAATACCATTATACCTAAGCTGTCCTTGATCCCAAAGTTATTAAATATCCAGTCTACCAATTTCCAATTGTTTCATAATTTCCCCCCTCTGTTTGGATTAAGATTTAAGTAAAGTTCTCACCTTATTTACACCTACTTTTGAAATGTCTTTTAAGACTCCTAATCTGTGGGCCCTTCTATTTCTTTCACTTTGTTTTTAGGCTGTGCCATGCAGCTTGTGGGATCTTAGCTCCTCAAAAAAGAGTCAAACCTGACTGCCAGCAATGGAAGTGAGGAATCCTGACCACTGGACCAGCAGGGAATTTTCGCTTTTTTTCCCTCCTCTTGCACATCATCTGTTGAAAAAACTGAGATTTTTGTCCTATACATGTTTTCACAGTCTAGATTTTTCTGATTATATTCTCAAGGTGTAGTTAATATTTCTCTGTCTACTGTATTTGCTATAAATTGGTAGTTGGACTTGAGGCTTCATCAGACTGAGGTTTGATTAGTTTGGACAAGACTGATTCATAGCTGATGTTCATATTAATTATCTATTGTTGTATAACAAACTGCCCCTAAAACGCAGTGGTTTAAAACAACAAATGTTTATAACTGCACAGTGTCTGTTGGTTGGGTATTTGGGAATGACTCAGCTGAGTGGGTGTGGCTCAGGTTCTCTCCTGCGGTTGCAGTGAAGATATCAGCTGATGCTCCTGTCATCTGAAGGAACCGCTTCCAAGGTGGCTCACACATGTGACTGACACATTTTTTTGTAGTTTGTTGCTTAGTCCTGTCCGACTCTTTGCGACCCCGTGAAGATCAGCATGCCAGGTTTTCCTGTCCTTCACTGTCTCCTGGAGTTTGCTCAAACTCATGTCCAATGAGTCGATAATTCCATCCAGCCATCTCATCCTCTGTCACCCTTCTCGTCCTACCCTCAGTCTTTCCTAGCATTAGGGTGTTTTCCAATATGTCAGGTCTTTGCATCAGGTGGCCAAAGTATTGGAGCTTCAGCTTCCCCATCAGCCCTTCTGATGAATATTTAGGGTTGATTTCCTTTAGGATTGACTAGTTGGATCTCCTTGTTGTCCAAGGGACTCTCAAGAGTCTTCTCCAGCACTACAATTCGAAAGCATCAATTCTTTGGTACTCAGCCTTCTTTATGGTTCAACTCTCACATCTATGTGTGGTGCTGGCCTTTTGGGAGGAGGCCTTTGTTTCCTACTGCATGGATCTCTCTTTAGAGCTACTGTTTGCCCCAGAGCAATTGATCCAGGAGAACAAGGTAGAGGCTTTTATGATCTATTCTGGAAGTTGCACTTTATCATTGTGCAATATTTTCTTAGTTACACAGTCACCCTTATTCATTGTTGGAGGGGACTACACAAGAATTTGCATACCAAGAAATAAGGATAATTGGGAGCTGTCTTAGAGATAGGCTACCACCCTGTTCATCCATTGAGAGGTATATGATGTCTTCTTATCTCTCTTTGTGATGTTAGCAACCTCTGATGTTGTGTTGCCTAAGTTCACTAATTCATTAGATATTGCAAAATGGTTCCATTCTATCATTCCTTTTTCATGTACAGCTCTAATATTTCTAAAAGAGACAGCATGAGAAGGCAAGGGAAACGTGCCTCTCTGTACTATTTGGTTACCAGTAGTTCAGTCTCCATAGAAAGGTCAGGATAAATGCTTGATTCTTTCCCTTTATCAGTTTTCAAAGTAGAATTAGTTTCCTAGTGTCACTGGCTGATTAGACTTTAAACAAATATTATGAGCTCATGGATTGGAATATTTTTGATGTATTTCAATACACTGAAGTTACTATCTTATGAATGATCATACAGTCTACAGGCAGGCTGAATGTTTAAGTCTGGGAGCTATGAATGTTACATTAAATGGCAAGAGGGATTTTATAGGTGGATCTTGTGATGGGAAGATTATCCTGTATTGTCCAAATGGTTGCAATAAAATCACAGGGTCCTTATAAGAGGGAGGCAGGAGATCAGAGGAGAAGGTGATGTGATGATGGGAGCAGAGATGATGCAGTGCTGAATTTTGAAGATGGAGGAATGAAAGAATTGCAGCCCACAAGCTGAAAAAGGCAAGTTAATGAATTGTTTCCCTGGAGAGTCCAGAGGAACTAAGTATGTTGACTCCTTGCTTTTAGTCCATTGAAACTGATTTGGAGGGTAGCATTGGAATGTGTATATTATCATATGTGAAACAGATTGCCGGTCCAGGTTTGATGCATGAGACAGGGTGCTCAGGGCTGGTGCACTGGGATGACCCAGAGGGATGGGATGGGGAGGGAGGTGGGAGGGGGGTTCTGGATGGGGAACACATGTGTGCCCATGGCTGATTCATGTCGATGTATGGCGAAAACCACTACAATATTGTAATTAGCCTCCAATTAAAATAAATAAATTAAAAAAAAAAGAAACTGATTTGGACTCCAACCTTCAGAATTATAAGAGATTTTT